TTTAGTAGATGAGATACTTGTATACAAGTCAAATGTATACTGGTTATTACAGGTATTACCGCTTGTTAATGTTACCTAAAAATGCAATACCGATATGACCAATATTGACCTTGGTCTTGCAGCAAGTCTCGTAACTCCTACGATTGTCTATTACTACCTATTACACACGTGAGTTAAAACAATAGAACAACAGAGTATGTAAATTTTGAACTTAGATATTGTCATAGACATAGTAAAGGTCAAAGTAATAAAATTATCATGACAATATTTGGTAGACGGACTTTGCTATATTATTATATATGCTATATTATTTTATTATATATATTTTAATGTCTATGAAGTCAAACTTTAATATATCAGAATGATACAGTTTTATATTTCTTTCATGTAATTTTCATTCTGTAACTACATTAAATCACTTCAATAAACGAGACATGTCTCAACATGTCTTAATTTAGTAATTCAAAATTGATGAGACAGATACTCAGTACTAATTTACCGTATATTAGCATAGTAGATACGTCAATCGTCAAGCCGTATTCGAATATTGCGATTCGCCAATTGATTTCACGAAATTTATTGTTCAGTGTCAATGAGCACGTCCCTCTGTTTATTGAAATGCGTTTGTATGATTCTAATGCTTGGAGACGGATAATTATTTGACACAAAATAGTCTTAGACTAAAAATGATAAATCACCATATGGTTATTTGAAACAAATGTGAATCGAGGTTGATCTAGAAAAGGATTAAAAAACATTGTTAAAGTCGCACGTCATTTACTGAATATTGTTAACGGATATGGTTGTCTATGCTCGAATGAGGTGTAAATTTCGATGTTATATTTGCTCGAATGAGGTGTAAATATCGCTGTTATATGAGTCGATAAAATGTGTGTTTATTGTTTATTAAGATAACTTTATAATTCAGCAACAAAATTTCTCTAGAAGCTTCTTAACTATTATATGGTTCATTATTGGAGAGAGAACAATAATGTGAGCAATGATTAGGTATATTATTAATTATTCCATTGCTTTAAAAAAATAGTTATAAAAGTTCTTGGTCTATTGATGTAGTTTTGGTATATCCTCTCAGGAAATATGACGATATTTGTTGAAGATGTCGAAAAAAAAACAAAGCGTTTGGGAGCTTTCATCGAAAACGCTGTCAAGTCCCTTTGAGATATAACAAACCAATGTATGGTGAAATTGTTCCCCTTTCATAGATCTAGGTACAGAAAAGTTGGTGATGAATCTACCCGTGCGTAGCCGCTGGGAACTATATATTAAACTGTCATAACTATTTATTGAGATATAATAACAATAATGGAGAAGTGCAGAAATATAATTGAAATCCATTAGAAATAAATTCATTTAGGGCGGTTAAACGGATAAGGCGTAGCGTGGGCTGATTGCGTCCTATCCTAACTATTTACCATGATTAATATTCCGGATATTGTCTACAAGAGGAAGTCAAAGAATATATATTTTTTTTATTTTTAATAAATCATCAACAGTTTTGTAGCATGTCGAGATGTCAGGTATGGGAATAAGAAAAAAAAATGTGTGGTTTAATTTACACATATATTAAAACTAGCTGGTACCCGCGTCTTTCAAGAACATTTAAATTGAACGAAAATTATCTGTTTCCTACCTGTAGTTCAACGTCGAATTTGAGTTAATCGTAAACGTAAAAAAAAGAAAAAAGGTGAAGTTCTGATAAGCCCTAAATACGGTATCACATTATATTACATTTCATTAGTTAGGCCTTTCCGGTCTGAACCCCTGCCAAGCAAACAATATTTTATCTTTACAATATTAATATGGAAATTTAAGCAAATTTGTTACAATTAAATACAGGTAAAACAAAATAACGAAAATTGCAAAAGAATCAAAGGATGATGACTGGGACAAATACAAAAGGATCATGGGTCCAGAAAAAACATGATCAACCACGTGCACACGCACACAGGCAATTCCAAAAGAAGTTAATTTTTTTTTTTTTAAAGTAAATGAACTTTGTGTATTGCGAGTAATTACTAATTCAAGAAACGAGGAATAAAATAGTGGTATAGATTTTTTATACCGTTTGGGTGATCCGTGTGGTGATTAAGAATACGGAATGTCGCCACCCTTGTTCATTCGGTTCAGCGTGGTATAGTAAACCAAATCCTTCTATCTAAGGAGATGTTTAAGTCCAGCAGTGGACTACTAAAGGCTGTTGATGATAATGATGATTGATGAAGCAGGTCAAAGGCCTTGACAAGTTTATGTAAAAGGCCTTGATTTTTTTGTACTAAAGACCTAAATTTTGGTGGTTTAAAGGTAGGGCTCGTCAGCTTAGAACGGAATTTACGATAAAGCTGGATTAAGGAAGCTTTATGTAAATGTTTTTTTTCATTGCTTCTACAAAGATATAGATTGAGATAGAGTTATATACTATGTAAAGTTAACAATGTCAATGTAATAAATAGAGAAGCAAAATTTCTTTCCTCATGGGCAGCTCAAGGTGTTTAAAAGATATTTGTTTAAAAGAAGTATCCACCAACATATTTTTTTAAATCAAGTTTTTGGCCGACATTCTAACTTCCCAGAGTGCTCTTTACGGCAATTGGCTTGCACCTGTATGTGCTTGAAATGTAAAACAACTTGTGGAAGTATGAGTGTAATGTTCGTGCTGCACAAAGGAAGGATCTTCTCAGGCTGGTTGACATTAGCTAATATTATTTATTATATTATATTATATATTTGACGACCGAATGGCGTATTGGTTTGTGTAACGGACTTCTATTCCAAAGGTCGCTGGTTCGATTCCCGCTCAAGTCAAACATTTGTGTGCATGAACTTTTAATGTTTGATTACTAGAACAACTGTTCAACAGGACTCGAAGAAAGACAGAATTCGCTTATGCAGCTTACATGGCAGATAGCTTGATGATAACACGATTAGTATTTTTTTATTGCTAATTAAACTGTGAATACAATAATACTCACTAGCAAAATACCATTATCCTAGTCGGCAGTCAGCGTTCTTCCTCTAATATTACTCCTAAAATTCGAGGTGATATTCACGTTTTCCTGTAATCGCTTCTCAGTACTTCTGTGGTCGAGGCATAGTAAGTGATAAATAAAAGGTAATTGAGAAGACGGAAACAGCCAATGAGTAAATCTCGTCCGTCAATTTATTTAAATTATTTATTAGTGGTTCGCTATAGACACCCGCCACGAACGCTCAGTCCGCCGGACGCTCCTGATACAATTATATGGCGGATGGATACTGTTATCGATACCCTCCATGTACTTCCAACTTCCAGCTTTGAATTTTTACAGTAGACACTATCTCCTCTATCACATATTATTACGTGGTCAACATATTAACGTTTAGAAAATATTTGTATGTTTTTTAAGCAAACGTCACGCTAGAAGGAATGTGAAATTTAGACTACCTAAAGTTAGTTTACAGGAAGCCATAATTTAAAAAGGTAGTTTTTTTATTTAATTTATTTACAATTGGTGTAATAAATTAATAATTTAAGTGAAGACCGCTATATCAGCTTACAACTATCGGAAAGTCTTACCTAGGTACACTACCTAGTTATATCGAAAATGAATACCTATGTCGTTTAATTTAGGTATATTACGTTATAAATAATGGTCGAATATCAACCACCAGACAATCTCTGGTTATAATAAATCTGTAGTTTTAGTTTTTCTCTGATATAATAGTTTTGTTTTTATATTTGATAAAAAAAATGTCATTTTCCGCACTAGGAATAAATCCTGTGTCGCGGGGGACTTTACAAACATACATTAAACGGACTCAAAGAACACCCAGACTCAGAACAACAATTTGTGAATGACACAAAGTGTTGTCCCATGTGGGGATCGGACCCACAACACTCAGCGCAGTAGGAAGCGGCGAGGTGACCGCCTTAACTACTACGCCATCCGTGCAGTTGCATTTTTCTTTTTGTATTAACATAAATGTTCACTAGTTTAAGGCCAGAATATTTACAAATGCTCTACGAAATCTGCACGATTTTCTGCACGTATTATCTAAGATTAAAACCCGACTGTTAAGCTGAGATTTATATTGCAATTTATAATCGCATCTCCTTTGTCATTGGTGTCAATTATCTCACAACTTCTTCTTCAAAGCTCAAATCCTTTACTTTAAGAAGTCGAATAGCATGTAAAACATAAACTGCTTCATTCCGACCATTCTCAAAATGAAAATAAGTTGACAAAAACTGTGTGAAGTATGTGAAACATTTTCATTTTTAAATCTTTCGCGGATCATAAATCTTTTACTAATTAACTTTTTATTAAATGGATTTCGCAAGTTTTTAGTGCGCTGTTCCTCGAATAGAGAGTTAAACTATATTCATATGCGGCAATATTGACAATTAGCCATCCAGCAATAAGTATAATTACTTAATTTGTACAGATACGGCACAATGAACGACGAAATAACGTATACAACATATACATGTATGTATACGTCTACCCGGAGATTCTAATTGGCATAATTGGACGAATCTGGACGCACTTAATAATGCTCCATTGTCGTCACTCAAATGGCAATTCATCGAATGTGAAAGATATGATTCATTACTTTTAAATTAAAAAGTTGGACGCACTAACTCGTGAAATAAGAAAATTGAATATTTTCTTCATCTCCTTGAACATTTTCACAATTGATCAGTGTCTTGTGGACATTTTTCAGAACTTAATAATTGAAACATTTTATATTTATTGGCTAAATCATATTAAACATTAAGAAACAGTAAAGAATATATTTAGCAGTTAATCTAAGAGTTGTACTATTGAGTGCAGGTAGTTGGAGAAGATCCTAAAGTTAAATGATTTCCAATGCTAAATGTCAAATCTATACATTAATACACAAAAATATACGCAAATCATTTCGGAAATTCCGATGGGCTCGTTTACAAATTTCATGTATTTTTTAAAATATAAGTAAATAAGTAAGTGTAATCATCATACCCATTGATGTCAGTGACGGACCAGAAGTGTCTCAGCACCGCCTTTGCAATCAGGTACCAGCACTGAGTCCACACCCACGACGATTTTTCGATGGAAGAAGATAGGAACTGTTTAGTCTCTTTGTCAGGATACAGTTGCACAAATTTTGAAACAAGTTCAGGGGACAAACGGTCTTTGTTCACTCGATACCACTGAAACAAAAAGAAAGTGTGAGAGAATTGAGCTATCTTAAAGGCTCTCTTTGGCAATCGAAGAAAGAACCACACGTCAAGCGAGACGGATCCCAGTCTTCCGGTGTTGAAAATGGGGGTCCTGTGGTTATTAGCTTGTCGGTTAACATTAATCAATAAAACAGTTATTATAATAATGTAAATACCACTGAAAATATATTAATGAAACTGTACAAAAAAGAGAATTATGTTGAAAATATTCCTTATAAATCTCATAATTTTCTTCGGATCTGGATAAGCGATCTAAAGTAACGTTAGAGTCTAAAGCGTTACATATTAGTAATGATATGATTAAAGGCAAATCGCAATTTCTGCTACTCGACCATGATACAAATTGATGTTTAACAACCCATTGCGCCAAGTTTTAATGAGAGATAACAAAAAAGAGCAATCGAGTGCAAATAAGAGAGTGTAGTATGAAAGGAGCGTGGAGCTCGTCACCCGTTGTGTGTTTAAGTCAGCCGCAGCGGCCCTACAAAGGGCAATGCGGCGGCTGTTAATTTCACGCTGCCTCGAATTAACATTTCTTTACGCCACAGAATAATGACGAATTAAAAAAGTTCTCGCCTCTGCATGCAGCCGTAATGACGGCGGCCAGCGAGCGAGCGAACTCATCAGCCCAACTTAATTAATGCCAGATCTGTCTTTGTATTAAAATCGAACGTGGGCCTCATAAAAACTTGAAAGCCGTAAGGCTTCCTATTAAACAGGGTTCTCTAAGGTCTTTAATTACTGTTCACGTAATTAAAGTTGTTAATAATTACTACGCAAGTAATTATAATGAGTTTAGTAATTAATTACAGTCCTGTATGGATACGTTATAATAGCACTAAAACATTGTGCCACAAAAGTAAATGAACTAAAGAGTTGCAAGCACAAAACAGAACAAATCGTTGTACTTTTGAGCATAATAGCAACGGTAAAGTGCAATGACAAATGACGACATAAATGTGATAAAATACGGCTTCAGAAGGTAACACACGGAACTCCAAATTGTCTAAAACCGGTAGTTGAAACAATCGTCACGGCAAATCGAAACGTCAAGTCGGGAGCTCGTATTCAATTTTATAGTGAGTTCGACGCGGAGCCGAGCGATAAATGATGGCCGCCTTTACTTTGTGTAATACAATCAATATTTTATACTATTATTCACCCGATTAGATATCGCTTTTAGATTTTTTGTGTGGCTTCTTTGACGTATTTGATCAAAGTACGAATCCTATTTTACCATAGGACTTACATTTTTTCGAACACTAATGTACACGTACGTCTTGGCTACCAAGATGGGTGAAGTCAAGATATTTCTTTAAATACGAATTGATCTTTAACAAATACACCTTCATAAGTGCACGTGTCAAACGAAGCTTGACTAGCTTTCTTCGCTTCAGTTCTCTTAAAACAATTACGTGATTGTAAAATTTAGTTTCGTCATTTAAAAGAAAAAAAAAATCAGTATTAGTATTCTTGTTTGACTGATTTAACTCCATCGTTAAAATTATGCATAATAATAAATTAGTAAAATGATAAATATAATTATCTAATTTTCTGTTGTTTCCATTTTCCTCAACAACAAAGTCCATCATTAAAAAAAAAAAGATTATTTTTATTGTAGTTGACATAACTCCTGATACTTTTTTTCCTTCTTTTTAATACGCTAAACTTTCAACAGCAACAACTTCTAACATATGAAGTAACCAACGTTAAAAAAATTGCAATAAAAAATACCTAAAAATTCAGTAATAAGAGTTTTATAGAATCACTATCTAATTTTTAAGCCGGGATATTTCGTAATAATACTCTAATACACTTAACAAAACTTTTTCTGGATATTTTACCGTATCATTAACAGTTAAATCGTTTCATATATAACTCAAAACAAGTTAAGGAATACCCGTATTAGCCATACAACCATACAACAGGCTTCATTTATATCAATATTTTTTTATTAAAATTCTACATTCTACAGTAATACAAAGCTATCGTGTTGCCGGCACTAGTCATGAATGCTAAGTGCGCCACATGGTTAAGAAAAAAACCAAACCAATGTATATAACTATTAGATAATCTAAAAACATTTTACGACTAACGGCAAAAAGTATCATAAAAACCGAAGCAAATAAATATTTAGTACCGAATACTGATAGCGAATCACGTTGGTGATTATGCAATGCGCCGACTTTACATTTAAAATAGACTGCATTGGAATTACGGGAATCGGCGAGGTAAATTCTCCAGACTGAATACAAATCGTGGAAAATTTTGAATCCTGAAGTCATTGATGATATTCTGGAAAATGATACGCAGTAAATTATTGATTTAGTACCTATTAAGACCGTATATGAAGTTGTAAATGCGCAAAATGGATCAAGGCGATAGCACAACACCAAAATTTGTCAATTTTAAATTATATAAGTGTTTATACTTACTTACTTGTTCTCGATTTTTATTATTTTGGCTTAAACGAATAGAGAGACACTTCAGTAAAATCTTTTTAATAGTCTAGTTCGCTGATACAACAATTGATAAATACAGAATAATACTGACAATTATAGTAGCAGTAAACAGTGTTCTGCAACGAAGTACTAGTGAAACTTCACTGTCTTCCGTGCCAGTAGGTTTGTTATAGTAAAATAAAATTGTTTTTGTAAGTAATAAAAAAGAAAATTCCATCAGTTTATCTTCTTGTGGAAGATTTAAATTTACGAAAAGGTTAACTATCAGTCCGTTTTCCGCTAACACAAAATAAACAAGATATTATAAATGATACATCACACAAAAAATTAATGAAAATTGTAATAGAGACAATATTTAAATACTAGATATTAACGGTTCTCATTTTATTTATTTTTTACTAAAAGAATCTAACCTATTGAATGGAACATCGGTCAGGGCCTTTCTACATATTTCAGCAGCTGATCACGTGGATTGAAGAAATTTTATAAATTCAAATTATCTATGTTTCTTACATAGATACGTGTTAACGTCTTTTTTTGGAAATAGTATCTGTTTCATACATTTGCAATCAGATGTTTAAAGTCAAATGTAAATTATATCAGCTCGATAATCTAATGTTAAAGCATTGTATAGAAAACATTATAGTGTTTTTGCTTTAAATAGACAAGAGGCACCCGTTCGTTTATTTATAAAAGTCTGTGTTTAGGATTCATTTTCTGCACGTGTAACTTAGATTTGCATGAATAACAATTGGCTAATTTAAAAATCTACCTGTTGAGGAAGATAAATCCTCAATGATTTATTCAATCCAACGACTTATCGAGGCCGGGTCCATATGTTATTTATTTTATTGTATTTTGTCTATGTGGGTTACCGAATTTCGCGGATTGGTCAACAGATCAGATGATAATATATTCTTTTATTCCTTTTTTGTTTTGTCACACGTGTCGTTCGGCCAGTCATTGCCTTTCAATGAGATTATTATACTGGGCTGACTCGTTAGCGAGCAAGTCAGCGCAGGCACATCCATGGAACGAAAGGAGGGATCCAAGTCCTTTATCTGTCGGTCGTTCGCCTCCAGCTAATGATTCAAAGCCCTAAGTGTAAACATATTGACAATACAAAGCGAAATATTAACGCTGTGCGCGAGCTTTTATTATGCCAGATTAATTCATAAATAGCGGTGCGGCCGCCATTTAAAAGTAAGCGTTTATTTTAGTTCTTTTTCAATCCACTTCTAGGTGAAAGGATGAATAGATGTTCTATGAAAAGCGTAATTATACAACTTGTCACGGTATTATTCAAAATTTAAAACTTTGAACGATTAACGACGCTTTAAACTTTTGTGGGCGAGTAATATTTTAACTATTTTTAGGAGTATTACATATATTTTGTGTTTGTAACTATGACGGCAAGCCAGGGTGTGTTGCGGCAAGTATAAAACATTGTAGGTAAGTTTCCGAGCTAAGTGGCGCATGGGATTTCGGTGGATTTGCCCGTAAGCGGCTCCGAAGCTTGTTTGCCGGGCGCTCCATTAAAATGGGATCAGTCGGGATGCAGATCGCTTGGACGTACTGCAACCAGGACACACGAACGTCGCGTTCGGGATATTTTAGTACTTATTATAAATAATCATGAACATATACACATATATGTATATCGTACAGAATAGTTTTACAACAAACCATAAATAATCCCACAACTTAATACCACAATAGGGATGTTAATTTACAAGAGGAAAACCGATTTCCACTGCTTACGAAGTTAGCAATACATAGGGAACCGGGGTATGCGTCATTGTAAATTCAAATACACATGATTGCACTGGTTGTACTTTGTGGGTATTTTTGGGAAGTGGCCTAAAGATTCGAATTTACTTAGCTGCTACTATTTTTTTAAGATACAGAATAAACAGTATGAATAGCATAGAACTAAAAATAAGCAAACTAAATTAAAGATTGATCTATTATAATTCAATAGGCTGGCATAAATAACGCTGCATTTAAACATATCAACTCCATTTCATAAAATTCTCGTGTGACAATGTTCGTTCCCGTACTCCTCCGAAAAGGCTTGACCGATTCTCATGAAATTTTGTGTGCACATCGGGTAGGTCTGAGAATCGGCCAACATCTATTTTTCATACCCTTAAATGGTAAGGGTGACCCATCCCTATTTTTTTTTGTTTTGCAATACAACGTTTGCCGGGTCAGCTAGTATTTAACATAACAATGTACATTTTCAGTTAATATTTTATATTAATGTAATAAAGGAAGGAACGTGACAAAATAGCATCTTAGATTTTTTTTTTTTTTGATAGTTTAATTTTATTTAAAGTAGTAATAGTACCTTGTATTATTATCCAAAATAAACATCTTACTTTACTGCCGGTAAAAACATAATATATGTTCTAATGGTAAGTGGCGAAAGGTATTGTTTGTTAATTAATTTCTCTCTTAAATTATCAACCCTAGTAACTAGAAAAAAAAACAACATAACACTTGTAG